CTTCAAAGGCTACTGACAGGCAATGAAGCGTGTGACGCACCGCCTGTTTTAACTTCATTTTTGCCAACAAACGCCACAACCGTAGGCATTGCAGTTGCCGGACGTCCCTATTTACTACATGTAGGGTAAACTTTGCAGCAGATTTATTTAGTTTTTATTTTATTTATTACATGTACTTATATAGCGCCATCAATTTACGCAGCACTTTACATATATCTATTGTACATTCACATCAATCCCTAACCCTCAAGGGGTGTACAATCTAAGGTCCCTAACCCTCAAGGAGCGTACAATCTAAGGTCCCTAACTCACATTCATACATACATATACTAAGACCAATTTAGACAGGAGCCAATTAACCTACCAGCTTATCTTTGGAGTGTGGTAGGAAACCGGAGTAACCGGAGGAAACACACTCAAGCACAGGTAGAACATGCAAACTCCAAGCAGCTGATGCCGTGATTGGGATTCGAACCGATGAACCTAGTACTGCCATGCGGAAATATATATCAGTCTCCTGTGCACAAGAATGGGGTACGAAGATGTAACTGTGACATCCTCTGTGTAACCAAAATCAGCACTGGACTTGCTGCCCTCTAAGGGTTGGGGGAAACCCACAGGAGCCAACTGTAAAAACAAAGAAAAACAGGGGGCACACCAACCTTGTTCATTGTGGGCAGCACAGTGGCTAAATGGTTAGCACTTACGCCTGGCAATACTAGGGTCGTTGGTTCGAATCCCAGCCACGCCACCTCCTGCCTGGAGTTTGCATGTTCTCCCTGTGCCTGTGTGGGTTTCCTCCGGGTACTCTGGTTTCCTCCCACACTCCAAAGACATGCTGGTAGGTTAATTGGATCCTGTCTAAATTGGCCCTAGTATGTGTATGTATGGATGTGTGTTAGGGACCTTAGATTGTACGTCCCTTGAGGGTTAGGGACCTTAGATTGTACACCCCTTGAGGGTTAGGGACCTTAGATTGTAAGCCCCTTGAGGGTTAGGGACCTTAGATTGTACGCCCCTTGAGGGTTAGGGACCTTAGATTGTACGCCCCTTGAGGGTTAGGGACCTTAGATTGTACGCCCCTTGAGGGCTAAGGACCTTAGATTGTACGTCCCTTGAGGGTTAGGGACCTTAGATTGTACCCCCTTGAGGGTTAGGGACCTTAGATTGTACGCCCCTTGAGGGTTAGGGACCTTAGATTGTACGCCCCTTGAGGGTTAGGGACCTTAGATTGTACACCCCTTGAGGGTTAGGGACCTTAGATTGTACGCCCCTTGAGGGCTAAGGACCTTAGATTGTACGCCCCTTGAGGGTTAGGGACCTTAGATTGTACACCCCTTGAGGGTTAGGGACCTTAGATTGTACACCCCTTGAGGGTTAGGGACCTTAGATTGTACGCCCCTTGAGGGTTAGGGACCTTAGATTGTACACCCCTTGAGGGTTAGGGACCTTAGATTGTACACCCCTTGAGGGTTAGGGACCTTAGATTGTATGCCCCTCGAGGGTTACGGACCTTAGATTGTACCCCCCTTGAGGGTTAGGGACCTTAGATAGTACACCCCTTGAGGGTTAGGGACTGATGTGAATGTACATTATATATTTAAAGTGCTGCGTAAATTAATGGCGCTATATAAGTACCTGAAATAAGTAAACTTTAATGATCCAAAATTCAATATATTCACAAACGTAGGAACAAAGCGTGTCAGATACAAAGCCAGTACACGGGATCAGCTCCCAGAATCATGAGGACCCTCTTAAGACTGACACGTTTCTCGGAGTGATCTCCTCTTCCTCAGAGCCAGGCAGGTGGTACCCTGGTTGGGATTCGAACCGACGACCCTAGTACTGCCAGGAGGAAGTGCTAAACCATTTAGCCACTGAACAGATGCAAAGATTCGCGCCCGCGGCATATTAAACTCCCCCCTTCGCTGGAGGGGGTTGGTGGATGACCTTTGTGTCCCTTCTAAAGGGATTACTCTAACTTTCTGACCCTATGACCATTATATCCAGGACCGGACATGAGGGGAAATGTCCTCAATGGGACACCAGCAGTAGTGGTTCTAACCCTTCCCTGTTCATATAAAACAAACCACATTTGAGGAGGAGTTCCACTTTTTTCCATTTCCTGCAGTTTTTTCCGCAGGGCCTTCCCAATTTGTGTTGAATTGTACACCCTTCTCATCATGCAAGGTAGCAGCGTCCCCCCCCCCCCATAGCCCCTGTGATACTTCTTATATTCCAGGGAGCAAAATTCCATAACATTAAGAGATTATTTGCAAACATAAAAGTTTGTCTGGCCTTTCCCTCTGAAAGTCAAATAAGCAAAGCAAGCAGTTGGGGATTTGCATTCCCTCACCTAATGCGCAGATTAGCAAGTGGGAAAAAAAAAAAAGTCAGGGACTCTCTTGATAAATGCCTGCGAAGCCGCTTCGTATAATGTGAAGTTAATTTGATTGTGAGGCCCGCTCTCCATGGTGCTGAAATTGATGTCACCTCATCTCCATTACAAAAGTTATTGAAATTTCAGGACTGTGTGGCGATTGGCGATAACGACTTCACATCAGTAATATGTTTCTCCAATGTGTTAACTGGTGTGATGAGAAATAAGCCATCACACAATGCCATGGCTGGGAGTGCTGCACATGACAGTTGACTGATGCCGGGGAGAAATGGATGACTGTATCATCGCTGAGCTGACGGCTTTTCAGCGCTGGGGAAACTCTCTCCCAGAATTGTTCTATTTACTCAGCAAGAATGCACACGGCAGATGATTTCTCACCATAATACCCACTTTAGAGATAATTAATGGATGTGCTTATTAAGCCCTGTCCAGAGGAAGCCATGGTGTGTTTCCAGTAAGTGATGTGACATTCACATACTAACTTGTTCCATATTCTGATATTATATTTCATATAAAATGTGATTAGTATCCCAGCTTAAGGAGACTCTGTGCCCTTGCCCATTCACGGCAAAGCGATAGGTTCTGTGGAAATGCCCCGCCCCCTCTTCATCCAACCACCTTGTGTCACTGGCATCAGTTTCACATCAGTCTGAGAGGCTTCCGAGATCATTCATAATTAATTTGCATTCCCATAGATTAATACAGGAGTCCTCCAGCAGCGCAGAGTATTTCAGGAGAGGAGAGTTATAGAGGAAGGAGCGGAGTCCTCCAGCAGTGCAGAGTATTTCAGGAGAGGAGAGTTATAGAGGAAGGAGCGGAGTCCTCCAGCAGCGCAGAGTATTTCAGGAGAGGAGAGTTATAGAGGAAGGAGCGGAGTCCTCCAGCAGTGCAGAGTATTTCAGGAGAGGAGTTATAGAGGAAGGAGCGGAGTCCTCCAGCAGTGCAGAGTATTTCAGGAGAGGAGAGTTATAGAGGAAGGAGCGGAGTCCTCCAGCAGTGCAGAGTATTTCAGGAGAGGAGTTATAGAGGAAGGAGCGGAGTCCTCCAGCAGTGCAGAGTATTTCAGGAGAGGAGAGTTATAGAGGAAGGAGCGGAGTCCTCCAGCAGTGCAGAGTATTTCAGGAGAGGAGTTATAGAGGAAGGAGCGGAGTCCTCCAGCAGCGCAGAGTATTTCAGGAGAGGAGAGTTATAGAGGAAGGAGCGGAGTCCTCCAGCAGCGCAGAGTATTTCAGGAGAGGAGAGTTATAGAGGAAGGAGCGGAGTCCTCCAGCAGCGCAGAGTATTTCAGGAGAGGAGTTATAGAGGAAGGAGCGGAGTCCTCCAGCAGCGCAGAGTATTTCAGGAGAGGAGAGTTATAGAGGAAGGAGCGGAGTCCTCCAGCAGCGCAGAGTATTTCAGGAGAGGAGAGTTATAGAGGAAGGAGCGGAGTCCTCCAGCAGTGCAGAGTATTTCAGGAGAGGAGAGTTATAGAGGAAGGAGCGGAGTCCTCCAGCAGAGCAGAGTATTTCAGGAGAGGAGAGTTATAGAGGAAGGAGCGGAGTCCTCCAGCAGTGCAGAGTTTTTCAGGAGAGGAGAGTTATAGAGGAAGGAGCGGAGTCCTCCAGCAGCGCAGAGTATTTCAGGAGAGGAGTTATAGAGGAAGGAGTGGAGTCCTCCAGCAGCGCAGAGTATTTCAGGAGAGGAGAGTCATAGAGGAAGGAGAGGAGTCCTCCAGCAGTGCAGAGTATTTCAGGAGAGGAGAGTTATAGAGGAAGGAGCGGAGTCCTCCAGCAGCGCAGAGTATTTCAGGAGAGGAGAGTTATAGAGGAAGGAGCGGAGTCCTCCAGCAGCGCAGAGTATTTCAGGAGAGGAGAGTTATAGAGGAAGGAGCGGAGTCCTCCAGCAGCGCAGAGTATTTCAGGAGAGGAGAGTTATAGAGGAAGGAGCGGAGTCCTCCAGCAGCGCAGAGTATTTCAGGAGAGGAGTTATAGAGGAAGGAGCGGAGTCCTCCAGCAGCGCAGAGTATTTCAGGAGAGGAGTTATAGAGGAAGGAGTGGAGTCCTCCAGCAGTGCAGAGTATTTCAGGAGAGGAGAGTCATAGAGGAAGGAGAGGAGTCCTCCAGCAGTGCAGAGTATTTCAGGAGAGGAGAGTTATAGAGGAAGGAGCGGAGTCCTCCAGCAGCGCAGAGTATTTCAGGAGAGGAGAGTTATAGAGGAAGGAGCGGAGTCCTCCAGCAGCGCAGAGTATTTCAGGAGAGGAGTTATAGAGGAAGGAGCGGAGTCCTCCAGCAGTGCAGAGTATTTCAGGAGAGGAGAGTTATAGAGGAAGGAGCGGAGTCCTCCAGCAGCGCAGAGTATTTCAGGAGAGGAGTTATAGAGGAAGGAGTGGAGTCCTCCAGCAGCGCAGAGTATTTCAGGAGAGGAGAGTCATAGAGGAAGGAGAGGAGTCCTCCAGCAGTGCAGAGTATTTCAGGAGAGGAGAGTTATAGAGGAAGAACCAGAGTCCTCCGGCAGCGCAGAGTATATGTGGGGATGACCCCTCCGGTATCAAGCAGGTACTGGAAATCTTCAGTTTTAAAATTGATGTTAATTATTTGTATCTGTTTATTTATTTTTTCAGCTGCAGAGAAGGATAAGTGAAAGGACAGTTTCCCTTAACACAATGGTCCCATTACCACGTAGCGCATACTGGCACCATATAACACGACAGCACAGCACTGGACAATTATACAGTCTTCAAGGTAAGAGACCTGATGAACATTGTATCTTCTGTTGATATTCTCCATCCGTTTATCTCTGCTGATCTTAGTTTGGAATCAGTAGGCTGTTTCAGACATCTGTCATAGACATGACAATCTATTAACAGGGGGTCACCTTCATGTAAAATTGATCATTAGATCAAAAGATAAAAACAGCTGAAGTTTTATGCAAATCTTGAGTTTTATTGGCTCCAGCTGCTTTCCTCTACCAGACCCATGCTTTCCTATTGGTCCTTCAGGATGGAGGAGGGAGGGTCAAGCTCAGATTTCACAAGAAAATGTCAGACCTGCATATAACTTTAGCTGCCTATATTTCAGGATTTCTGATCATGTCAATATTATTATTATTATACAGGATTTATATTATTATTATTATACAGGATTTATGGCGCCAACAGTTTGCTCAGCGCTTTACAATATAACGGGAGACAATACAGCAACAATACAGTTCAATACAAGAGGGAAAGGAGGGCCTGATCCTCAGAGCTTACAATCTAGGAGGGAGGGGCAATATGAGCTTTTCACTACAGAGTTCTTCACCCTGCGCAGTTTTTCAGTGTATTCTCAATTAGAATTGTCTGCGTTTGGGACTTTTATTTATTTTTGCTATGACTTCATAAAAAATGTCAATGGCCTTTTCACACCACATCTAGAAGTGTCTCTTGTAATGTGATCCTCTAGTCAGATTCAGTGCTTGAAATAAGAAGGACTCCACAGTGATTTCGCATGTAGTACAGACAATCCTTGTCAGGATGATAACGGTAGGCTTCATGCGGGTAGCTTCTGTTATCTGTACGTTTCAGTGCTGAATTTTTCTGTTTGATTGGACTTTACATAACAAGACCATTAATACCTCACCGCTAATACTGAGATCACACTTGTACTGAGGTCTATTATACTGAATGAACTAATCTTAGAAAGTATTGCTATACTGAAAAAGTTTATTACTACTACTACAGGTACTTATATATCACCGTCAATCTACGCAGCGCTTTATATATATATTGTACATTCATATCAGTCCCTAACCCTCAAGGGGCATACAGTATAAGGTCCCTAACCCTCAAGGGGCATACAATCTAAGATTCCTAACCCTCAAGGGGCGTACAATCTAAGATTCCTAACCCTCAAGGAGCGTACAGTCTATGGTCCCTAACCCTCAAGGGGCGTACAATCTAAGGTCCCTAACCCTCAAGGGGGGTACAATCTAAGGTCCCTAACCCTCAAGGGGCGTACAATCTAAGGTCCCTAACCCTCAAGGGGCATACAATCTAAGGTCCCTAACCCTCAAGGGGCATACAATCTAAGGTCCCTAACCATCAAGGGGCGTATAATCTAAGGTCCCTAACCCTCAAGGGGCGTACAATCTAAGGTCCCTAACTCTCAAGGGGCGTACAATCTAAGGTCCCTAACCCTCAAGGGGGGTACAATCTAAGGTCCCTAACCATCAAGGGGCGTACAATCTAAGGTCCCTAACCCTCAAGGGGTGTACAATCTAAGGTCCCTAACCATCAAGGGGCGTATAATCTAAGGTCCCTAACCCTCAAGGGGCGTACAATCTAAGGTCCCTAACTCTCAAGGGGCGTACAATCTAAGGTCCCTAACCCTCAAGGGGGGTACAATCTAAGGTCCCTAACCATCAAGGGGCGTACAATCTAAGATTCCTAACCCTCAAGGGGCGTACAATCTAAGATTCCTAACCCTCAAGGAGCGTACAGTCTATGGTCCCTAACCCTCAAGGGGGGTACAATCTAAGGTCCCTAACCCTCAAGGGGCGTACAATCTAAGGTCCCTAACCCTCAAGGGGGGTACAATCTAAGGTCCCTAACCCTCAAGGGGCGTACAATCTAAGGTCCCTAACCCTCAAGGGGCATACAATCTAAGGTCCCTAACCCTCAAGGGGCATACAATCTAAGGTCCCTAACCATCAAGGGGCGTATAATCTAAGGTCCCTAACCCTCAAGGGGCGTACAATCTAAGGTCCCTAACTCTCAAGGGGCGTACAATCTAAGGTCCCTAACCCTCAAGGGGGGTACAATCTAAGGTCCCTAACCATCAAGGGGCGTACAATCTAAGGTCCCTAACCCTCAAGGGGTGTACAATCTAAGGTCCACAACTCACATTCATACATACACATACTAGGGACAATTTAGACAGGAACCAATTAACCTACAAGCATGTCTTTGGAGTGTGTAAGGAAACCGGAGTTCCCGGAGGAAACCCACGCAGGCGCAGGGAGAACATGCAAACTCCAGGCAGGTGATGCTGTGGTTGGGATTGTTGATACATGGAATAGACTTCTAGCAGAGAGGTAGTTGGGAAGGGGGGGGGGTGGGTGGCGCTACACAAAGAAGGTTTTTTTACCTTCATGTATAGAATGCATGAAGTACAAAACATTCAGCCTTCGCAACCACTTTGTAGAGGAGATCAGTTGAAGGGGGAAGGAGATCCCTAGACATTTGCAGCCAGAACTGGTGTCCATATTGGGAGATTTCCTCTAACCTCTTCTTCCATTCCAACATTTTGAACTTTCATTGCTTTTTCTATTAGAAACAATGGTCACCAGGACAAAGAAAGGGTAATTCTCAAGACAGCAATTAAAACCTGAGCAATAACACCTAAAAAAAAATAAAATGTAACTTTATTTACAGTTGAACTGCTTGCCAGTTCTGACATGGACAGACTATGTCATTCTGAAGTACAGGTGTCTTTTCCATGTGTTGCAGTGCATGTTAGCCCCCCTGGGCTGCAATCGTTCCAACGTATATCCTCTGTATACGTTTTCCAGGGTATACCCTCTATATGCTCTTTCCTTCATGTTTAGACATATGGCATGTTTACTGTAAAAGAAGATGCAGATTTTACAGGGGGTCCTGTTCATTTGTATGCAGTGTGCGCATGTGGGAAACAACAACATCTGAGCTGCAGCAAACAAATTAAAAAAATAAATAAAAACAACCTAATGAGAGCCATTGAACACAAAGGAACAGGATTCTCATTTCAATCCAGGCTTTGGAAAGTGCGCATCAGTGTGGAGACGGGCCCTAAATCTCATCCCAATAGAATTAATACGTTTTTAACTGCAGCTTTGAATCAATTTTATGCTCCTTAAAGTTGAACATTCCCTTGATTTTTTTTTTTTTTTTTTTGTAGATATAATTGCACCATCAGGGAGTGCAATAATTAGTCCTAATGGGTTTTCTGGCAGAGCTGAACTTTAACACTTGACCAAGCACAGTTCCTGATGGAGGAAATATTGCGAACAAATTCTTGTAAATTTTAGACATTCTTTATTGAAGCTCTTGACCCCCGTTGGCCACGGTACGCTTTTATTACCCTGGCCATTTGTAGACGTTTCTGGGTTTCAATTAGGACTCTATGTAGAATATTTCTTTTCTATCCACATATGTATTGATGCAATAATAACAGTAAATAATCGTAATGGTGATTTACTAGTGTAGGAGACAAGGCAAGTATGCTGTTATCTTCTCTGGAATGATATGTAATGACACCACTCAGGCCTAAAGGTGACATAGCTGAAGATCACTCTGGGATGTCACTGAGGGGTTTATTTACCAACTTCATAGAAACCAATCAGCTTCTAAGCTCAGCTTGTTTGATTAAAGAAGAAATCCAGGCAAAATTACTATTTTCCTTATAAGGCTGTGCCCGCGCTGCATGGATTAAATGCTCGTTTTTGTCTAGGGGCTCAAAAAATAAAGATATACTTACCTAATCCACCAATCCTCCGAGTGCGAGACCCGTCCACGAAGCTCCTGCCCCCCCCAGCAGACTAGTGGTCTTGTAAGTGGGCTGTTCCTGACATCCATTACGCCCATAGACCCGCTCCCAATGTGAGGACGGCAGGAACAGTCCACCGCTCGACGTGGGGGAGTACGGTTTTCTGGAGGATCGGAGCAATGGGTAACTACAGCTTTTACATGAGCCCCTAGACAAAACGAGCGCTTAACCCATGAAGTGTGGCCACAGCCCTACTGCATGGGAAAATAAAATTTTTAATCAGAGTTTTGCTTTCAGTTTTGGCAAAACAACCTGGAAGCTGATTGGTTTCTATGCAGAAGTGAGCCTGATTTTGCACTCTCCAGCTTTGGTAAATAATAAACTAGTCAGATAAATCACAGCAAACTAGTGACATCAGTAATTATCACTGAGACTCAACCAGTCAGCTCGCAGTTATCTACTGACATCAGTGATGTTCAGACTAGAACAGTGGTCTCTAAACCGCGGTCCGGGTAGCTGGATGTGGCCCTTTGCTTGCCTTTATCTGGCCCTTGGGGCACTATTCCTCCTACTGACACCAACAATGGGCAACTTTCCACCCACTGACACCAACAATGGGGCACTATTCCTCCCATTGACACCAACAATGGGGCACTATTCCTTCCACTGATACCAATGATGGGGCACTATTCCTCCCATTGACACCAATGATGGGGCTCTATTCCTCCCACTGACACCAATGATGGGGCACTATTCCTCCCACTGATACCAATGATGGGGCACTATTCCTCCCACTGATACCAATGATGGGGCACTATTCCTCCCACTGACACCAATGATGGGGCACTATTCCTCCCACTGATACCAATGATGGGGCACTATTCCTCCCACTGATACCTATGATGGGGCATTATTCCTCCCACTGACACCAATGATGGGGCACTATTCCTCCCATTGACACCAATGATGGGGCACTATTCCTCCCACTGACACCAATGATGGGGCACTATTCCTCCCACTGACACCAATGATGGGGCACTATTCCTCCCACTGATACCAATGATGGGGCACTATTCCTCCCATTGACACCAACAATGGGGCACTATTCCTCCCACTGATACCAATGATGGGGCACTATTCCTCCCATTGACACCAATGATGGGGCTCTATTCCTCCCACTGACACCAATGATGGGGCACTATTCCTCCCACTGATACCAATGATGGGGCACTATTCCTCCCATTGACACCAATGATGGGGCTCTATTCCTCCCACT